TGCACCAAGAGTTTGTAGCACTGCAAAGAGAAAGGAAAAATTTAAATCGCATCATATGACCCCTTTAAGATTTTCTCTCACCTACGTGTGAGTGTATGAATAGGGTTGAATTTGTTGGCAAGATGTCCTAGTTTCACATCTAAAATTTGTAGCTCCTCACTAGTGAGATAAAGGTCCGTAAGAAGAGACACTGGAAGTTTGTGTGGATGTGTGTCAGTGACCTGATTTATCTTTTTCAGTGCTGAGGTAAAGATGAAATAATACAATTCACAATACACTGTTTTGACGTCTGAGAATATCTTGGTTCATTTAAGATATTTGCATGAGTGTAAATGGACAAACAATGCTGCGCTTTACTCTGAAACCAGCAGTGCTTATTTTTATTTGCAGACTTGATGGTTTACTGTTTGAAAATGAAAAAAAAAAAAAAAAATTAATAAACCTGTCTTTCAGGTAATGGTGCTGTATGTAATTTTTTGACTGTACTAAAGCATAAAAATGCCATAATATGTTTGCAGATATTTAGGAAACATGCTAGGTTCACACTTGTTTCTCCAAAAAGCAATGCTGCAAGCCAGTTATTCTACTTTGAAATGTGTGTTCCCTGTCAAAATGTCTGTTTTTGTTTTGCTCTGTGTGACTCCGCCCACTGCCAGTTTACCCAACAGAATTTCAACACCCCGGGTTGCCAGATGGGGGGAAACTCAGCGTATTGAAGCCATGAAAGGCAGCAAATGAACTGGGCCAGAGATCGCAGATTCTACCCAACCTAAAAAGCCTCGGCATCCATCTAAAAAGCTCTATGACCAGAGGCATATTAAAACGCAACTCATCAACCTGCAGTGTAAAACTCTTTGCCTTCCATTAGAATTCCATGGCTGCCATGCATTTTTGTATAGGCAAGTATACCTGAAATCTAGATACATCAAAACCCACATCACATACACTACCGTTCAAAAGTCTGGACTCAGTAAGATTTTTACTGACTGTAAAAATAATATTAATGCTTTTTTTATTCAGCAAGGATGCATTAAATTACATTAAATACTGAAAAAAAAAAGTATTACAGTTTTTGAAAATTTAGCTTTGATATCACATGAATATATTACATTTAAAAATATACTGAATAGATTGCAGTTATTTTAAAATACAATATTATTTCATAGTATTACTGTGTTTGTTGTATTTTTGATCAAATAAATGCAGCTACAGTGAGCATAAGAGACTATGTTCAAAAACATAAAAATATCTTACTGACCCAAAAATATTACGTCAAAATCTACAAAATCAAGAGGGTTGGCAAGTGAAGTGTTGCTGTGTCCAGAAAATCTCCAGAATTTGTTTTATTTATCTGCCTAATACCTCAAACTCAAAGTAACAATACCTGATTTTCTTAAGAAATTATCACATTTTACTAATCACAAATTACATCTTCCAATTCACCAGAAAAAAATTCTCACACCTCATGTTCAGCACTCAGGTGTGCATTGCAATATGAGATCTGTGTGTGTTTGTGTGTGTTTGTTTGTTTGTGTGTGTGTGTGTGTGCGTGCGTGTGTGTGTGTGTGAGTGTGAGTGTTGAACCCAGAGCAGCTGAACCCCAGCCAAGCAAACCTTAGGACAATACCTCTCAGCTCTCTGTGGTTTCACAGTCCTGCAGTGTTGCAAGTTACAAGAAAAAAATAACATATAACTTTAGATTTGGTTTGCACAGGCATGCTCTATATTTATCTACAGAATAGCTAAACACCTTCATGAAACACTCTCACATTCCTTCACAAATCAGTCTCACTCACACCTGCAGCTAATAAAACCAGCTCAACAAACTCTATTAATAATCACAATCATGTTCAGTAGAGATGCTTCAGAATGTTTCTATTATGAAAATGACAAATATTCCTCCAATCAGCTCAAGTGCCAGCATTGTTCTCCATGACAGACTGCAATCAGTGTCTCTGCCTTTTGGTTTCAGGTATGAATAGCAAAAAAAATATAAAAATCTCACCATTAAAGGGATAGTTCACCCAAAAATGAAAATTTGATGTTTAGCTGCTTACCCCCAGGGCATCCAAGATGTAGGTGACTTTGTTTCTTCAGTAGAACACAAATTATGATTTTTAACTCCAGCCGTTGCAGTCTATCAGTCGTATAATGCATGGCAACATTCTTTCTTTTGTTGACATCTGCTACTGAAACAAAAATTTGAAGACCAACTATTTTTTTTTTATATTTAGTCAAAAACCTCAGCTTGCTCTATGGATGAAAGCAATTAAACATTTTCAAAGCCAATACATTCCACAGTATATTTAGCCATTCTGCCATTTTTTACACATTTACGTCCCTGATATACCTGAAGTGAAATCGAAGAATGAACTGATGTGACGTAATTTTGACCAAAATTAGACCGAAACGATGTTTGTTTGGAGTTTGTTTTGGGAGTACGAAACTTTCCAGAAAAGTTCACTCTGGCTGGCAAACTACCACTGGTCCGTGGCGATGATGTAATAGGTAGGTGTGGCTCTAGGGCTCCACCTTCTTTGACATGGAACTATTCCCTTATAATAGAAACTGAAGATGTAATTCTCATTTAAAGTGACACTGATACTATTTTACTCATGTTTAATATTGTAAAGCAGCTTTCTTTAAAGCAATATATTGTATAAAGCGCTATATACATAAACATGACTTGTAACATGAAAATTGCAGAGCTGGTGCAAGGCTACGATCAGATGCTTTATTAACTGCTGCTTTCTCACCCCTGTCACTTTTGTCGTGTATTTGTTGTGTTATTGAGAGGAAAGTGTGCAGCGCATATTTACATACGCTGCTCTCAGCAGTGTGGATGGCATCAGGATGTTCGCTAACAGTATATCACTGCAAATTATTTTGAACTTCTTTTTTCCCCCTAAATAAGGAAAAAGAACTTCACTCTGAGTATATCAGACAAATCGCATGCCAAAATCGTACTGAACATTCATGTTGGTCTGAAAGGCCTTATATGTCCACCAAGAAGAATCTGTTTTTTTGAAACACAACAGCAGAGTTTTATTGGATATGAACTCACCGATATGTCGAATATCTCCTCTGAGTCATCCAGCAGCACGACTCTGATGGGCACCAGGCGTCCAGGTGGCATAGCAGGCGGTTTGTGTCCGGGCTCTAGGGTGCTGATCCCCAGAGTCTCTGGTGCCCCTAACCTCTGTCCCGCCAACGACATTTGGCCCTGTTCCACCATGGTCTTCCTGGCTCAGCCTGCACACAATACACACACAAATCACACTCTGACTAACACTGTGTGTGTATGATCAGGTTTTGTCTGTGCCAAATGTCCCACAAGGATAGTAATAATTACTCAATGCACATATGAAAATGAAGAAGTTGTGTATTTACACTGACGGTTCTTGACATGTCAGTTATGTGAAGCTTAAAATTACAGTCTTTTTGGTCTGATGTTTTTGTGCTCTCCTCAGACAATGAACCTATTACGCTGATCCAACTTCTCATATCTCTCCCTCTCTGTTCCCATCATTTTCACTGTTTATCACACATGCCAGAGCACTGATGGCATTACTTCTAAACCAAGGGTCAACATGAGAAACAGAGGGGAGGAAAAGAGGCTGAGAGACTGACAGAGGGTGCCGTCAGAGGAAAATATGAAACAACAAACACTGATCTCTGTGGATCAGATGACTATATGCGACCTGCACTTCTCATACGCAATAACATTTATCTAAGCGATCTTCAAAAGAACCTTCCAAACGGATGTCTATCTCTTCAAGATATTCACTGGTTTGTGCTCATATATCCCTGTATAAAAAAAGAAACACCAGGAAACAACTGTATTTTTGTCTTCCTGACAGTAATATGACAGTATTATTTCTTTTTGTGCTTGAGGCCAATTTACTGCCCAGAGAGGTTTTATTAATTTATCTTAGGATAGACAAAAATAAATAAATAAATAAAGATTGCACTTTATTAATAAAGTCTAGTCACTAGTTTCTCCACTGTTTGCATGTGCATGGACAATTTAATATTTATATCTGTGCTGTTCATAAAAAGTAGATTTAAATAAATCAAAGTGCATTGTAAAAGTAGACCTCTGATATAAACTGGGCTGTTTAGTTTTATAGGCTAGGCCTACTATCAATAAAACACCTTGGAGAGAAGCAATAAAGCATGGATCTGCTCTCGGGGGTTATCCAGAGGGGGAGGGTGAAAGATCAGACCAGTGCCAGCAAAAACCAAATCCACCATGAGAAACACAGCCAGTGCTTCGCCAGTAGTGTTTAAAAAATTCCATTCATTCAGAAATGCCCCAAAAGCCCTGGAAAAATCATCGGCACTGATGGTGATGCAAGTACATCTTCATGGTGTCTTTTGTTTGGCTGGGAAATGAAATGTCACATGCATAACACGCCAGGATAGCTAAAATTATGATTTTATAAAAAGCCGCCATGTTTAATCAAGAAAACAGAGACCATATGCTGAGAACAAACGCTTAGAAGTTCATAGGCTTTTATACGTGGAACACACAACGGACCTTATTCCCTGAATTCATTCACCTTTGTTTACCTTGATAACCTCCCATAGTTTACAATTCAAATAGACTGCTTTCGTGGTCTTTCAACGTTAAAATGAATGAAACGTGGAATATTTCAGAATGGCTCGTCTATGAAGCGCTTTATGCTTTCAGTGCGCGTTCTACACGCGTCGCGTCGCGTCGCGTTGAGGCTGCACGTCACCTCACCTCACAGCGTTCAATCAGGTGCAATGAACTGAATGAAAACCATTTAAATTCTAAATCGACTTTCCATTGTTTATTTTAGAACAGCTAACACTAAATGTACACATGTCATATTTATAACTCATTTTGCTTCAGACTGACTGGGGAAGTAAAACAGAAAATAGTAATGGAGCGTCCATCGCGTCGCGTCGTGCGCGTACAGGCGGTGTAAGTGAACAAAGCGCAGAACAGGTCAATTGACGTCTAATGTCAAGGTCCTTGTAGAGGAATATGCTATTTCGATATGCCTTTCGCACTGGTCTTCATCAAGTGAGTGGACTCATAATAGCCTGGCAGAACGCGTCGGTGCATAATGGAAATATAACGGTACGAGCTTCAGCAATGTCACGGCAGTTCTCAGGCTCAAATCTGTAGCTAGATTTACCCCTTAATCTCTTCCAAGCACAGAGCACCACTGTGAATGAGAAGAAGAATCCAAACGCTTACCCCGATTATAAATCCACTGTGTGCAAGTGTGCGTTTGTCCACGAATGCGCCGAGCGCGACGGTGATGCTGCGGAGCCGCTTCAGATGCAGCTTGTTGTGGAGCATACGAGCGTCCTCGCTGTCGCCATGTCTGCCGGCTGGAGAGACGGGATTACACTGACTGAGCACAGCACAGATCCGACCAACACACGAGACTTTACAGCCTACGAGATGTGCGCTCATATGCTGCCATCTGCAGAGTGAAGCACCATAACGCAGTCTAACTGTGATGAGCTACAGTTACTAACAGTAGCAAAATGAGCCTATATGAATGACATTAGACAGTTTCTACATAAGTGGGTCAAAAATATTGTAATTAATAAACTGTATAAAATGTAAAGTCATAAAAATGTGGCCTGTTTGTGTTACATTAAAATACTCTTTAAAAACTGCTTTAAAAGTAAGCTTATATCTAGTTATTTCAACACATTTTAAAGTAGTTCACCCCAAAATGAAATATATATATATTTATTTATTTTTTACTTACGTCTTCATTGGAAGAGATTTGGAGAAATGTAGCATTGCATCACTTGCTCACCAATGGATGCTCTGCAGTGAATGGGTGCCGTCAGAATGAGAGTCCAAACAGCTGATAAAAACATCACAATAATCCACACGACTCCAGTCCATCAGTTAATGTCTTGTGACGTGAAAAGCTGCGTGGCTTTACACAAATCCATCAAGACATGTTTTTAACTTCAAACTATCACTTCTGGCTAAAATATGAGTTCATAATCCATAATAACTCTTCCTATAAAAAGTCCATCCCCTCTCACATTCACTGACATATTTGTTTAGAACTGTTTTACCTTAAAATAAATAGTGCTTGATCTGTGCAGATTTCTCTCCTGATTCAGACGAGACGACTGGAGAAAGCAATATTATGGATATATAGACTCGCAATGGTTTGAAGTTAAAACATCTTAATGATGGGTTTGTTTCTTACAAACACAGTTTGTACTTCACAAGACATTAACTGATGGACTGGAGTGGTGTGGATTACTTGTGGATTATTGTGATGTTTTTATCAGCTGTTTGGACTCTTGTTCTGACGGCACCCATTCACCGCACAGGATCCATTGGTAAGCAAGTGATGCAATGCTGAATTTCTCCAAATCTGTTCCCATGAAGAAACAAACCCATCTACAACTTGAAAGATGGTGAGCACATTTTTAGCAAATTTTAATGTTTGGATGAACTATTCCTTTAAACTCTTTTAGAAACTGTTTATTTGAATCATAGTTAAATCAAAATGTTTAATCATTTAGCTCCATACTATGCTTAATTTAATTCTTATATATTATGTACAATCAACCATGTTTCTATCTCTCAGCTCTTCATTCCTCTTTTATGAAAGAAACAATTGGGTCTAATGGCCACCTGCATATTTGGATCTACAAAACATGTTCTGCTTTTAATTCTGCATTTCCTTTACCTCTTCCTGGAGTGTTTCCTTGTCAATGTTTTATTTCTCTTGGATATTTCTTGGTGAATTAAGCCTGCTGAATGTCTTTAAGTGATTAAGTGGTAAAGATAATTAAACAGCAAAAAAAAAAAAAGTGGGATAATGTACATATACTGTATTCAGCTGGTCATTTTTGCAAAATAAACCCCTGCAGGCTAATGCACACATGCCTGGATCGCCAAAGGACCTTTAAACCTGATATACAAATACACACAAAAACTGAAATCTGTGGGCAGTTGTGTGTCTTTATGGCATTTATAAAGCAGGTATCTCCGGAGAGATTGTTCTGCAACAAGTGTGCTGCAGATCACATCCAGTATACTGCATCTGACAGGCAGCTAAGTGTAGGTGTACATGTGTCCTGATTGATGTTGATAGATGGTGTGTGTCCGTATCTTCCCCCACGAACTATTTTTGGCCAATCAAATCACTGCAAATTAGAGTGTGAAATTGGCAGCATGTGTTGCCATGACAACCAGCAATAAGTCTCATGCTGGTGTGTGGATCTCCCCCTCACTGCTGTGCTCTTATGTCCTCTGTCCGTTTCCCATGTCCTCTCTTGGCTGCTTTTCCCTGGATTCCTGTGTCCAGTGAGTGGGCAGAGAGTCCAGGTCTGCCGGAAAATATTTACCACATAAAAACAGCAGCTCGCTGTTCACACAGACTTTCCAGTTTATGCATGTGTGCAGAATGATACTACATACTCAACCATATTTTAGTATATAGAGTATGGTGTATATTTTATGGTACAGTAGGCTACTAGTCAAAAGTTTGGAATAATTAGGATAATTAAAGTAAATGTTGTCTATTTTAATGCAGTTTATTCCTGCACATCATTACTCCAGTCTTCAGTGTCACATGATCCTTCCAAAAAAAAAAAAAAAGTTTCCAAAGCAACATCTCATTTTCATTTTACTTCATTAAAATAACTAAAATAGCCACTATTAAATAAAAACTATAGACACATAAAAAACAAATAAAAATGACAAAAAACACAACATTATTAAAATGTTAACAAATTAAAGCAAAAACAGAAAATATATATACAAATATCTAATTCAAAATATTTGCAAAACTATAATAGTATATCAGTGATACTCCATTAACACTGCCATTACAGATCCAGTTGTAGAAATGCACTTTTTATGAAACTGCTGATATGACTGGAGTCTTCATCTCAAAAACTCTATTCGTGTCTTCATGTGTGAAACTTTTATGATGACTGAAAAACCTCTACGGCACCTTAAAGTCAGTTTAGATGGAAAGCATCTGCTAAATGTTACGTAACTAACTTGTATCTCTCACAACCAAATAGTTCAACAGCCATCAAACAAACAAAACCTGCCTGATGGAAAACAGAACCCGTCATGTGTGTGTGTGTGTGCAGATATTCAAACAAACTGCAGGACACACTTTTGTCCTTCAGCGTAACATGTTCTGCTCAAATATTTCTTATTTATAAAGCAGGCATATGTTTGGACAGTGAGCGTGTTGGTTTTAAAACACAGAAACCACACTGCAGTGCGTGTGAGTGTCAGATCCTTTATTTAGGTGCCAAACAAAACAAAAAAAGAGTGTCACCCTTCAGTCATTCAGAAGAGTTGAGCACAGGTCCACATAAAAAAATATAAAATCAATACTGACTCAGAGCTCTCTATTCAAACACACACACTCACACACCTCCGTAATCTCTATATGTTCAGCCTTGAGATCCAACCTCAAGCACGGCCAGGAGGAGGACACCAAGAAAAACTGGCAACCTCTGTACAAATGGATATACAGTCAAGCAATAGCCTTCATCGTCAGCATCAATGACCCACACAAGCATGGCAGAATATTGAGAACGAGTGCAGAAAGGGGCTGAGAAGCTGAAGAGACGCGCGAGAAAGAGGGTGATACAAGCGAGAGGGACAGAAAAAGAGACGAGTCCTACAGAGCCATATGAGATACTAAATTAGCAAAAGTTCTGTCCAGATGTGTCCCCGTCCAATCAGAGACAGGGACTTACACTGCATTCCATTCGCTTGGAAAGTTAACATTCCTGCAACTGAAAGTCTCTTGAAACTCACGATGGAGGGTTCCTGATGCAGACATGGTGGCAGTCAGAGATTCACACAGTCAAAACGTTCAACATTTAAGCAAATAAAATACATCAAGGAGTCAAAAGGTCCAACATTGCATGATGCAACATGTTTAGCAAACATAAAAAACAAGATAAATGGTTCTCTCTGTTGATACACTAGTAGAACGTAAAGCACAGCGTCCCCCCAATTTGGTTGCTAAAAGAGTTCTTTGTTCACAATTGTTCCACTGCAAAGCTAGAGTCGCCATTCTGAAGTCATCTTCTAAATCTGACTTTGAATGGAAGCAGCATAAAGACGAGAGCTCTGTTCCAAAACCTACTGAGCCGCCTTACTGTTTATTCACAACATTCAATGTAGATGGATTTTGTAGACTGAAGAATTTGGTGGAACAGTATTGTTTTTTTCTGGTAAAAATGGTGATTGCTATGTATATTTCATACTGTGAATCTCACAAAACTCATAGCGATTATATCAATATGACTATAAAATAAGAACTATTATTCTTATGGTTTTTATAATTAAATATTAAAGGGGTCATATGATGCGATTTCAAGTTTTCCTTTCTCTTTGGAGTGTTACAAGCTCTTGGTGCATAAAGAAGATCTGTAAAGTTGCAAAGACTAAAGTCTCAAATCCAAAGAGATATTCTTTATAAAAGTTCAGAGTCAGCCACACCTACCTAAAACGGCTCGTTCTAACACGCCCCCACATATCTACCTCACTATGTGGATATGACCCCTTTAAAACATGAAATTGATTACTATAGTAAATAATGCTGTTTTACTGTAAAATAAAATAAAACAAAACAAAGCAGTATCAAATATGAACCTATCAAACAAAAAACTGCAGGGAGCCCCTTAAATCAAAACTGACAAATCTTAATTTGTATGGTATACTGTTACTGCAGTGATGATTTTATGATTTATCCATGTGCATGATTATTTTTATGTTTGAATTAACTGAATCAATCTTTAATAAAAAATAACTTTCCCCCCCTTTGCAGCAACATCAGTGAGTGTGCAACCTGTCAATCACAATCACAATGATCTAATCAATTCCCAAAGAACAAAGCCAAGCCCCGCCCAATGTGTTTTTTTTTTCCCCCCGAGAATTAACAATAGGGAAGAAAATACAATCGTAACTTCTGTTTCATGCCGACTTTAAAGATTCTCCTTTGTTGGCTGCAGGTTTATAAATGTTTTATAAGCAACTGAAAGCACTGATCACAATTTCACTCAGAAACTTCCAACATATATTTTTTGCATTTAAACCGCAGCCTTTGAGATTTGATAATTACACAAACCCATATTGCGATTTCGATTTTACTTTGATTAATCATTCAGCCCTACTCTGCATCACACATATACAGTTGCTTATGTGAAGCTCATACACTTGGATTCGGAGAGTTTGACATTAGCATGCCGTTAAGCTAACAGCATGATACTTGTGTGTGCAATGCATAAAAACACATGCAAACACACCTTATTAATTTTTCAGCAAACTATTATGGAGTGGAATGAAATTCAAATATATTTAGAATCTCATCCACCATCCTGGAGGAATTTTTCAGAGCTCACCGCAATGCATTCTGTGAAACCATAGGGAACATACTTTGGGATTTAACATACTGTCTAGGTAGGCGGCTAACTAGGTTTTGGAACAAAGCTAACTGTTTTTCTACCTCTTAATGTTTCAGTTGAGATACCGATGACTTTGAGGGATCTATTCCCAAATAAATGGACAATTAGAAAGTCTTCATTAAATGATTATATGGCTATATCAAGCATATGGCTAAGAACCCTCTTATTTTCTCTCTCTCTCTTTGACCTGGTGACAAACTCAGATAAAATCATCAATACCACAAGACCAAGAACATAAAAGTCCAACTCATCGCCACTGAAGGTTCCTGCTCAAACAGGAAACGTGAAACCTAAGGCAAGTGCTCTTCCTGTGGTTGAGTTAGTCAGGATTTAAAGTGACAAGAAAAAAAAATCCTCAAAGTTACTGTCAGTGCGCAGATACAGAATGATGGAAAACCGTGGACACTAGAAGGTCTATCAAAGCTACTGTAATGTGAGTTCTGTGTGTGTGTTGGGGGGTTATTGTATATTGCAGGAGGAGCAGCACGGATCATCTTTATCCGGCTGTGCCGCGAAGTCCATCTGCCGTACGATCTCGGCAAAGAGTTCGTCCACCATGGTCTTGCTCTTGGCAGACGTCTCGATGAACGGACAGCCCCACTCCTCGGCCAGCGCCTGTCCCTCCCTCACGGACACCTCCCGCTCACTCTCCAGATCCACCTTATTCCCCACCAGGATCACAGGAACCTTCTCATACCTGGAAACAACCAGACAGAACACTTAAACAGAATTTATGCAAACAATTCCTTCTGAACAAGAAGTAGACTTTAGTATACTTTTAAAGAAAGTACTTATTAAACTTTAAAATAATATTTTTTAAACTTTCTTTTTAAAAAGAGCACTTGTGTGTGTTAAGAAACAGTCATGAAAGTTTGCTCTATTTCATTAATATACTATCTGCACGCAGTGTTGTGGGTAACGCATTACAAGTAACGCGAGTTACGTAATCAGATTACTTTTTTCAAGTAACTAGTAAAGTAACGCATTACTTTTTAATTTACAAGAGAATATCTGAGTTACTTTTTCAAATAAGTAACGCAAGTTACTTTTTTTCCCAATTTATTGATTGACAGCTCTCCTGTGCCCATGTTGAGAGAAATCAAGTATAGTTTTTTGTTTTTTAAATACAAGTGCATAGTGGACTTCTTTTTCACAAGGGCGTTTACTTTAGGATGCATCCCAGTACACTGTAAAATCTAATTAGTTGGGCTTACTTAAAAAAAGCACTTAAAGTCTACACCAAACACATTCAAAATGCATTTAACTTCCAACAGTCATATGTATGAGTGAAACAATATTTTATAGGAAACAGTGCAGGCAGGGCTTGATTTCCCCCATCAAGATTTGATTGGCTCATGGATGTCAGAGTAGGATATTACTGGTAAATGTTATTTTTACACAAATGCACAGCAAAGTGATTTTAAAGAAACATTATTTAACATTTTATTTGTTTACTATATTGCCTGACTTAATAAAATATCGTATAAAGACAATTTGTGTCTGTAATATTTTTATTTTTAATACACTCTATCATTCAAAATTTTAGGGCGAGTAAGTTCTATTTTTTTAAAGAAATTAATACTGTTATTTATCAAGAATGCATTAAATTGAACAAATGTGACAAAAATATAAAGCAGAACAACTTGTTTTCAACATTGATAATATTAAGACATGTTTCTTGAGCAGTGAATCAGCATATTAGAATGATTTCTGAAGAATCATGTGACACTGAAGACTTGAGTAATGATGCTGGAAATTCAGCTTTGATCACAGGAATAAATTACATTTCACAAGATATTAACAAAGAGAACAGTTATTTTAATTTGCAATAATATATTACTGTTTTTACTGTATTTTGATCAAACAAATGCAGCCTATACGATCTATCCGACATGACTTGAACGCACCATAACTCATTCTCTAGATTTATAAATCGTGTGCATGACTTAGCAAATCGAGGGAACGAAATATTAAATTGTGCGCACAATTTATAAATTGAGGGAACGAAATAGTAGATCGTGTGCACGATTTAGCCTACTATTGTTTTCCTGCATGCCATGTGCGGGGCTCCGCAGTTTTAGTCATGCACTTCTGTAAATGGCACTAAACCCTTCTCTGCTCTTTCACTACCGGTCTCGTTCATCCTTCAACAAGAACAAACAGAGCTGTGACAGACTTCTCCTACTCCCACTATCTCCTCCTCATTATGCATCGCTTTTACTGTGCAAAATATTTATGCCATTCAATTATTCTATATTTTCTGAAGGCAGAAACATCCTTCTGCGTGAGAGTGCAGATGTATATTATTTGCGTGGGAATGTGTGCTGGAGGAGATGTTGTTTGCAGGTCTGTATGAATCTATTTCTGCTTCAGGGTGACTGGGAGGTTAGTGGGAGTCTGAGTTATAAACTGATAAGAAGGATAAAAGAAGTATTAATGGAATCACTTTTATTCCTCCAATTATTTAGCTTATTATCATCTTTAGTTCACTTACTGTCCCTGATAAGTGAAGTTCCTATTGGTAATTTATTGCTCCTGGATTTGGGTGCCAAGCCTAAAGGATACTAATGGAATCCAGAAAGAATCTATTAAAGGATCCTGCTTTTCAGTGGGATCTCACTGATCCTTAGGGAATTCTTCAGTTGAAACCGAATTCCATTAGCATTGTTTTCTGCCACTTTTGTTGCTAACATTTTAGTTTCAATGGCACTGAATGCAGTCAAACAAGCACAATACAATATTTACTCAGGAAGTTTTGAATACAGAATTTGAACAATCATTGGCTGCGTTCGAAAGCCTAGGCAGCTGACTTGCTGCCTCGCTGCCTTTTGAGGCAATGACTTTGCAGGCAGCGTTTTTGCACGAAGGCACCTCGTGAAACTGATTTCGGACAGGCTTCTGAGGCAGCGAAACGATTTAATGATCTACAACAAAACTGAACGAGTTTTGGTGATAACTAAACGAATATTTCATTACTATAATACTAATTTCTTGCTAGAAATAACATCAAAAGTGCAAAACGTTAGTCAGAAATATACATTTACACACAAACTGACCACCAAACGTAACTTTCAGACACCATCTTTATTTTTTTTTAGCTCAACCGTCACGGAATGGAACGCACAGGATTGTGGGATATCAAAGGCAGCGAAGGATACATCTATGCTGCCTTCAAAATTCGATCAGAAGAAGGTACCTCCGGAGACAGGAAGTAAAGCAGAATTTGGATTCGGACATGCCTTGCTGCCTTGGAATGCTGCCTTCGAAGGCAGCATTTTAGAGCTTTCGGACACAGCCATTGCTTTTCTGAACTAGTTACAACTTATCAATACATCCCAACCATTTGTAAACTTCCATGTTTGTTTTCCCTAAAGCGCTGACTTCTTCAGCCTGTAGGCCTATATCACCATAAACTCACCTTCTATAGACTAAAAACCAACCTCTAATTAGAAAAAACTAGGATAAAACATTCTATGATCTAAACAAGATAAAACATGTTTGTAAAATACATTTCTATAAAACACAAAATAAAGGGATGAAATTTCAGATATAAAACACATTTTAGCAATTTTTTTAACACACCCACAACAACAAAGTGAATTTGCTATTTTAAATAGATAGATAGACAGACAGACAGACAGATAGATAGATTTTAAGCATATTTTGAATGCTCAAATGATTTTGACTCATTTAAGCATTACAGTTCACTAAATTACAGCAACTTGCAATAACTTAATAATTTTAACAATCAATAATAACAATAATAATTCCTATTCTAATATTTATATTATGGACTTTTGTTGCTATGGTAGTAGGGAGGGATATTGAGACAAATAAAGATGAGTGCAAGATGATCTGATGATGATCAAGATGACTAACTATCTATCTATCTATCTATCTATCTAAATTCTCAAAGAAAAGACTCAATTTTAAATCAGCTAAAAGCTAATAGTCAACTTTGAGTATCTAAAGAGGCTTCAAAGCTGTGTGAGCTATGGACTAAAATCCACAAGGCTACGGTTTTCATTTCAAACACACAGTAATATTTAGTGGTCGACCAATATATCGGCCGATATTTGGCATTTTTCAAATATCGGCATCGGCCGATAAGTTTTTCTGTTTGAGGGCACGGTGGACTTTTATTTTGACGGCGCGGAGAACGGCAGTTGCAGCGCCTGAGCGCACACCGCTCACATTCTCCCTCTTGTTGGCTGTCGTTGTTCAGTTCTGTCTAATATGGATAGAAGTCTATCTAATAATCAGATAGAACTGTTAAACAAAGGAATTAAAATGTATACAAAAAAGTATTATAACGATTGCTTTAATATTATTAGTAATAGAAAGGCAAACATTATAATACTTTCTCGTTTGCCGTCAGCATTCAGCAAATACGCATTTACAT